CCAGTCTCCCCCGTCACTGTCCAGTCTCCCCCGTCACTGTCCAGTCTCCCCCGTCACTGTCCAGTCCCCCCCGTCACTGTCCAGTCCCCCCGTCACTGTCCAGTCCCCCCCGTCACTGTCCAGTCTCCCCCGTCACTGTCCAGTCTCCCCCGTCACTGTCCAGTCCCCCCCGTCACTGTCCAGTCCCCCCCGTCACTGTCCAGTCCCCCGCGTCACTGTCCAGTCACCCCCGTCACTGTCCAGTCCCCCGCGTCACTGTCCAGTCCCCCTCGTCACTGTCCAGTCTCCCTCGTCACTGTCCAGTCTCCCTCGTCACTGTCCAGTCTCCCTCGTCACTGTCCAGTATCCCTCGTCACTGTCCAGTCTCCCTCGTCACTGTCCAGTCTCCCTCGTCACTGTCCAGTCTCCCTCGTCACTGTCCAGTCTCCCTCGTCACTGCCCAGTATCCCTCGTCACTATCCAGTCTCCCTCGTCACTATCCAGTATCCCTCGTCACTGTCCAGTCTCCCTCGTCACTGTCCAGTCCCCCACGTCACTGTCCAGTCCCCCTCGTCACTGTCCAGTCCCCCGCGTCACTGTCCAGTCTCCCTCGTCACTGTCCAGTCCCCCTCGTCACTGTCCAGTCACCCGCGTCACTGTCCAGTCCCCCCGCGTCACTGTCCAGTCCCCCCGCGTCACTGTCCAGTCCCCCGCGTCACTGTCCAGTCCCCCCGCGTCACTGTCCAGTCCCCCGCGTCACTGTCCAGTCTCCCCCGTCACTGTCCAGTCTCCCCGCGTCACTGTCCAGTCCCCCTCGTCACTGTCCAGTCCCCCCGTCACTGTCCAGTCCCCCGCGTCACTGTCCAGTCCCCCCGTCACTGTCCAGTCTCCCCGCGTCACTGTCCAGTCCCCCTCGTCACTGTCCAGTCCCCCCGTCACTGTCCAGTCCCCCGCGTCACTGTCCAGTCCCCCCGCGTCACTGTCCAGTCCCCCCGTCACTGTCCAGTCCCCCGCGTCACTGTCCAGTCCCCCGCGTCACTGTCCAGTCTCCCCGCGTCACTGCCCAGTCCCCCGCGTCACTGTCCAGTCCCCCGCTTCACTGTCCCCCGCGTCACTGTCCAGCCCCCGCGTCACTGTCCAGTCCCCCCCGCGTCACTGTCCAGTCCCCCCCGTCACTGTCCAGTCCCCCGCGTCACTGTCCAGTCCCCCCGTCACTGTCCAGTCCCCCCGTCACTGTCCAGTCCCCCGCGTCACTGTCCAGTCCCCCCGCGTCACTGTCCAGTCCCCCGCGTCACTGTCCAGTCCCCCGCGTCACTGTCCAGTCCCCCCGCGTCACTGTCCAGTCCCCCGCCTCACTGTCCATTCCCCCGCGTCACTGTCCAGTCCCCCGCGTCACTGTCCAGTCCCCCGCGTCACTGTCCAGTCCCCCGCGTCACTGTCCTGTCCCCCCGCGTCACTGTCCAGTCCCCCCGCGTCACTGTCCAGTCCCTTGCGTCACTGTCCAGTCCCCCGCTTCACTGTCCAGTCCCCCGCGTCACTGTCCAGTCCCCCGCGTCACTGTCCAGTCCCCCGCGTCACTGTCCAGTCCCCCGCGTCACTGCCCAGTCCCCCGCGTCACTGTCCAGTCCCCCGCGTCACTGTCCAGTCCCCCGCGTCACTGTCCAATCCCCCCGCGTCACTGTCCAGTCCCCCGCGTCACTGTCCAGTCCCCCGCGTCACTGTCCAGTCCCCCGCGTCACTGTCCAGTCCCCCGCGTCACTGTCCAGTCCCCCGCGTCACTGTCCAGTCCCCCGCGTCACTGTCCAGTCCCCCGCGTCACTGTCCAGTCCCCCGCGTCTCGGTCTTGCCACAACGTCATGAAGGCGGCTGAAACGGACACACTCACCACAGGCAGTGAGTGTGAGTGTCTAGGGAGTACCGTCTTACCAAGCTAGAGGCTCTTCAGGTGGTCACTCACCAGGGGACCAGACCCAGCGGGCCCTCACCAACTGCCTGAGTGACGCCACTATCATCCAGTGTGTCACACAGTGTCACAACCAGGCTAACCAAACCGTCGAGAAATTCCAAAAGACCACCATGGGCAAAACTTAGAGAAACAAGAAAAGACAATAAAAGGATTACTTAATGTTATGAAACTGAAGGAAGAATTATTTTTTCCTCAAGAGGAACCAGGAAGATCATTTGGCCCCATGGAATATATGTTACTTCCTTAGGACAGAAGGGAGAGCTGAGGAGACGGGAAGAAATACTAGTGTTCCTAGCAGCAGGGTGGTCGTGGACACTAGGAGGAGCAGTAGTGTGAGGATGACATAGCAGCCAAGGCTAAGGACCGACCCACACTTACCTGGAAGTGTAGGTCGGTCAACACGAGGAAGATGTTGCGAAGGAGCAACAAAATGCTGAAGGCATCTGGCTCACATTAAGTGGTGACACTTGGCGCTTGCACTTGTCTTGTCTCAGAATCTAAGTGTCGGTCATTTCCGATGACGTCACAGCGGCAGTGTGAGCGGATATGACGTCATTAACAAGGAGTGACACCAGGAGTGACGTGATTTTGATTGGCCAATCTCAGTAGCACGACGGACAGTTGTCGGTGGTGTTGTTTATGATGAGGCGTGGTGCCATGAGGCATGGTGCCATGACGCGTGGTGCCATGAGGCCTGGTGCCATGAGGCGTGGTGCCATGAGGCATAATGCCATGAGGCGTGGTGCCATGAGGCGTGGTGCCATGAGGCGTGGTGCCATGAGGCCTGGTGCCATGATGCGTGGTGCCATGAGGCATAATGCCATGAGGCGTGGTGCCATGAGGCGTGGTGCCATGAGGCGCGGTGCCATGAGGCGTGGTGCCATGAGGCGTGGTGCCATGAGGCGTGGTGCCATGAGGCGTGGTGCCATGAGGCGTGGTGCCATGAGGCCTGGTGCCATGAGGCGTGGTGCCATGAGGCCTGGTGCCATGATGCGTGGTGCCATGAGGCATAATGCCATGAGGCGTGGTGCCATGAGGCGTGGTGCCATGAGGTCTAGTGCCATGAGACGTGGTGCCATGAGGATTGGTGCCATGATGTCTAGTGCCATGAGACGTGGTGCCATGAGGCCTGGTGCCATGAGGCGTGGTGCCATGAGGCATAATGCCATGAGGCGTGGTGCCATGAGGCGTGGTGCCATGAGGCGCGGTGCCATGAGGCGTGGTGCCATGAGGCATAATGCCATGAGGCATAATGCCATGAGGCGTGGTGCCATGAGGCGTGGTGCCATGAGGCGTGGTGCCATGAGGCCTGGTGCCATGATGCGTGGTGCCATGAGGCATAATGCCATGAGGCGTGGTGCCATGAGGCGTGGTGCCATGAGGCGCGGTGCCATGAGGCGTGGTGCCATGAGGCGTGGTGCCATGAGGCCTGGTGCCATGAGGCGTGGTGCCATGAGGCCTGGCGCCATGATGCGTGGTGTCATGAGGCATAATGCCATGAGGCGTGGTGCCATGAGGCGTGGTGCCATGAGGCGTGGTGCCATGAGGTCTAGTGCCATGAGACGTGGTGCCATGAGACGTGGTGCCATGAGGTCTAGTGCCATGAGACGTGGTCCCATGAGGTGTGGTGCCATGAGGCGTGGTGCCATGAGGTCTAGTGCCATGAGACGTGGTGCCATGAGGCTTCGTGCCATGAGGCGTGGTGCCATGAGGTCTAGTGCCATGAGACGTGGTGCCATGAGACGTGGTGCCATGAGGCATGGTGCCATGAGGCATGGTGCCATGAGGCGTGGTGCCACGAGGCCTGGTGCCATGAGGCGTGGTGCCACGAGACCTGGTGCCATGAGGTCTAGTGCTATGAGACGTGGTACCATGAGGCGTGGTGCCATGAGGCGTGGTGCCATGAGGCGTGGTGCCATGAGGCGTGATGACATGAGGCGTGGTGCCATGAGGCGTGGTGCCATGAGGCGTGATGACATGAGGCGTGGTGCCATGAGGCGTGGTGCCATGAGGCGTGGTGCCATGAGGCGTGGTGCCATGAGGCGTGGTGCCATGAGGCGTGATGACATGAGGCGTGATGACATGTGGCGTGGTGCCATGAGGCGTGGTTCCATGAGGCCTGGTGCCATGAGGCGTGGTGCCATGAGGCGTGGTGCCATGAGACGTGGAGCCATGAGGCGTGGTGCCATGAGGCCTGGTGCCATGAGGCCTGGTGCCATGAGGCGTGGTGGCATGAGGCCTGGTGCCATGAGACGTGGAGCCATGAGGCCTGGTGCCATGAGGCATGGTGCCATGAGACGTGGAGCCATGAGACGTGGTGCCATGAAGCATGGTGCCATGAGACGTGGAGCCATGAGGCGTGGTGCCATGAGGCGTGGTGCCATGAGGTGTGGTGCTATGAGACGTGGTGCCATGTGGCTTGGTGTAATGAGACGTGGTGCCATGAGGCGTGGTGCCATGAGGCGTAGTGCCATGTGGCTTGGTGTAATGAGACGTGGTGCCATGTGGCTTAGTGTAATGAGACATGGTGCCATGAGGCGTGGTGCCATGAGGCGTGGTGCCATGTGGCTTAGTGTAATGAGACATGGTGCCATGTGGCTTAGTGTAATGAGACATGGTGCCATGAGGCGTGGTGCCATGAGGCGTGGTGCCATGTGGCTTAGTGTAATGAGACATGGTGCCATGAGGCGTGGTGCCATGAGGCGTGGTGCCATGAGGCGTGGTGCCATGTGGCTTAGTGTAATGAGGCGTGGTGCCAACCATGACAAACTATCCAGTGATCAATAATGGACCTCGTCAGAGCACCAGTGCCACAGGAAATGTGATCAGGAAGCACCCACATGGTCTAACACGGCATAAAGTAACCGCCTCTTACATCGTCCACCGGTTATAAACACAGCATAAAGTAACCGCCTCATACATCGTCCACCGGTTATAAACACAGCGGTGAGGCGGGCGTCTGCATGTGGACGCCCGCAGGAGCTGGTCATCTCTTGGAGTGCTTTGAGAACGTGAGTTGAGACCCAAAGCGTTTGTGCCAACCCTCGCGAGACATTGGACTTGAATAGACACGAGTGCCTCAAAGAATATCACCTTTTGGAGTGGTTGGGTTAATGTGATGTACACATTGACATTCTGAGTGTATATCCTAGCAGTCGTATTGTAATATAGTGCAAGTATGTTACTCTGAATGATACTGGATATCTGAGATAACTTTTATCTCTGGATATCTCCTGGTAATGCTATATGGAGTCATTTGTGTCCCAAAAATATTATACTGGTGAACATATATTTCGTCCCAGCTATATGCCACATATTATGGATATTTTTAGGGTAATTACTATCCCAGTTGCCAGGTTATGTCACCGTGTTACCGTGTGTCGAGGGTATTATGACACGTGTGTACATGCTTCTTACATCACTAAACATTATGAGTATTTATGAGTGTATTTGTGTGTGTGTGTGTATTTGTGTGTGTGTGTGTATTTGTGTGTGTGTGTGTGTGTGTGTGTGTGTGTGTGTGTGTGTGTATTTGTGTGTGTTTAGAGTATATTACGATACTGTTGTTATCTCGTCTCGTGGTATACTTAAGGCCGTTCTCGAGTATGATAGTCCTCTGTTAACAGCATCACCTGAGTGTACTGTGGCAGTTGAAAAATTAATTTATTAGACAAATAAACAGGAGCTGCCTCTGATATTAGTTTAGCTGATGCTAGTTTATATATATATATATATATATATATATATATATATATATATATATATATATATATATATATATATATATATATATATATATATATATATAATTGTGTGTGTGTGTGTGTGTGTGAAAACTAGAGAATGCTAAACCCGTTTTCGTTTCAATTCGCCTTCATCAGAACAAAATTCTCGTATGTTCATTTTGACTCACATCATCGTGTTCAGGTTAAGCCGGCAGTATTTTCTGGAATGTTTCTCAGAGCACTGAGAGTTTACAGCCCGAAATTCTTTAATGATGAAATAACAAAAATATTTTAAATTGGGAAGAATTTAAAATACCCAAAATCGGTCTTGGATTTCGCGTTTGGTGGAAGAAAAAGGACGTTCTACACACAAGCTCCCAAGTCTAAACCAGAACTAAAAAACTCGTTGGTATTACCATATTTTGACTAGTAAATCTTGCCCCAGCCCTGAAAACCCTTAAAATTAACCCAGTGTTCAAAAATGATAATACAGTTAGGTCCATGTTAATTAAGAACTCTCCCTCGTCTGTAGCAGGTTGTGTGTACTCCATCGCTTGTAATGTGTGTGCATGTGTTTACATCGGCCAGACGGGTAAATCACTTTCATCGCGTTTAAAACAACATTTCATATGCTATTCGTACAGCCCAGCACTCCAGTGCATTGTATTTATATTCCAGTCTATGTGATCATTCTCTCGACTTCAGAGGGGCGAAATGTATTGTTAAAAGTAAGGGTTTTGTTGATGGTAATGTGATCGAGTCCCTCTAATCCCTCTAATCCTCTAAAAAGAACGTCCTTTTTCTTCCACGTTCTACACACGTTCTTCACCGGTCAGGTGAAGTCACAGTGAGAGGTTGTGTTAACCGGAGCTCCTGAGTGTTGTTATATTATCATAGCAATATGGAAGTTGTAGTGAAGGACCTGGTGACTCTAGTGGGAGCCCTGAGGACAGAGTTGGACTCTCTGCGGGAGGAGGTGCGTCAGCTTAAAAAACAACGAGAAGTAACGAAGGAGGAGACCAGCAGTAAAGGGACCTCGTCTTGGAGAGTTGCGAAAGACAGGGGCCTTAAGAAGACTTTGATAAAGCCGCCTTCAAACGCCATAGCAACTTCAAATTCATTTGACGTTTTGGAGGACGAGTGCTGTGGAGAGACTGTGGATCGCGCAAAAGGGAAAGCAACGAAGAGAAAGGAAGCGCAGGCCCCTCAGAAAGTAAAGGAAGTACCTAAGCAAACATTAGTTGTGGGCGATTCCCAGATAAGGTATTTGGATAGAACGTTTTGTGCTAGAGATAGGGGGAACAGGTTAAGGGTTTGCTATCCCGGAGCTGGCATTGGTGATATTATAAACAACATGAATGATATTATGGCTGGTAATGGGAACAATCCCATTATTTGCATTAGCGTGGGAGGAAATGATGTTGGTCGAGTCAGGAGTGAGGAACTGATTCAGAGGTATAAAACAGCCATAGAGTTAGTTAGGAGCAAGGGAGGAATCCCGATCATATGTGGCATTCTTCCAAGAAAGGGAGTGGGAAATGAATGGATATCGAGGGCACTTGGTGTCAATTGCCGGCTGGAAAGATATTGCAAATCAAATGCAATATCTTTCATAGACAACTGGGAACACTTCTATGGAAGAAATGAAATGTATGCTCGTGATGGGGTGCATCTATCGAGAGCTGGGGTTGTTGCTGTTGCGAACTCGCTAGAAGAAGTGGTTAGAGGTGTTTGTTTGGGTTTAAACTGTTAGTAGATAGAGGTATGGGAATTGATTTGGAGGAAGGAGGTAATAAAAGTATGTGTTTGTGGGAGAAAGGAATTGGCAAAACGATCAGGGAAAGAGAAGGTCCGCAAAATAACAATTCACTTAGGGTATATTACACTAACAGTAGAAGTCTAAGAAATAAAATTAACGAATTAAATGCTCTTGTCTGCACAGAAAAAATAGATATTATTGCACTTACCGAAACGTGGATGAATGTAGAAAATAGAGAACTATTAGCTGAATATCAAATATATGGATTTAAACTATTTCACACAGATAGATATATTAGACGAGGAGGTGGAGTAGCCATATATGTTAGGGACAATTTGAAATGTAGTCTCAAAGAGGGAATCAAAACAGAGCCACACACAGAAACTATTTGGATTGAATTAAACGAAAAAGCTAATAATATTATAATAGGAGTAATATATAGGCCACCAAATTTAGACAGAATGGAAGCAAAGCATCTATGGGATGAAATATCTAGAGCATCTAGATCTAACAGTATTTATGTCATGGGTGACTTTAATTTTAGCGGAATAAACTGGTTGAACAAAACAGGGAATAGTGAAGCAGAAGATTTTCTAGAATTAATTGACGATTGCTTTCTTACGCAACACATTAAGGAACCAACACGGGAAAATAATATTTTAGATTTAGTGTTAACTAACAGGGAAACGCAAATTAATGACATCGAAATAGGGAGTGAGCTAGGGAGCAGTGATCACAAAGAAATCAGATTTAGCATAGAATGGAATAGACCAGTAGGAGAAAATTCTGTTAAAGTGCCAGATTTTCGAAAAGCTGATTTTAATAGCCTAAGAAATTTTTTGGGTCAAATTGATTGGAAAGGCTTGGGTATGGGGTGTGGGCCGGTCTTGGAGCGAGACATGAACCCAGCGATAGGTGACTTAAATGGGGATTTCGATGTGGATTCAATATATAACTTATTTAAGAATATTCTAAACAAAGCACAGGAACGTAGTATACCATACAAATTGAATAGATCGTATACTAATGACCCAAAGTGGATAACAAAGAATTTGAAGAACCTTATAGGTAAAAAGAGAGCTTGGTACAAAAGGATTAAAAATGGGGAGGTCACTTTAGAACAGGAATTCGTACAACTGGTTAGAAATGTTAAAAAAGAGATAAGGAAAGCAAAAAGAAACTATGAAGTTCGCATAGCAGGGCAAGCAAAGACAAATCCTAAAGGGTTTTTTCAGTTATATCGTACTAAGACTAGGGAAAGGATAGGTCCATTAAAAACTGAGACAGGTCAAATAACAGATAGTGATGAAGAGATGAGTAGTATTTTTAATAAATATTTTGTATCTGTATTTACTAAAGAGGAACTTAACAATATGCCTTCAGCCGAACAAGTCTATGTGGGTGGGGACGAGGACAGGTTGACGAGTTTAGCAGTTACCAGGGAGGATGTTCTTAAACAAATAGTAAAACTCAAACCAAACAAATCCCCAGGGCCGGATGAAGTGTTTGCTAGGGTGCTTAAAGAATGCAAAGAGGAGCTTTGTGACCCACTGTCAACCATATTTAATAAATCAATAGAGTCAGGCAGAGTGCCAGAGTTTTGGAAAGTTGCTAATGTGATACCAGTTTTTAAGAAAGGAGATAGATCACTTGCGTCTAACTATCGACCAATTAGCCTAATGTCTATTGTGGGAAAGTTACTCGAATCTATAATAGCAAATAAAATTCGTCTTCATCTTGAAAAACATAAATTAATAATTTAGCTCCTATTGGCCCATACGAGGAGCTGCCTCGTATGGGCCAATAGGAGCTGCCTCGTATGGGCCAATAGGTGTTTGATTGTTACCTTCTTTCTCTGGTTCCTTTCTTGGTGGTGAGGTGACCTGCCCTAGAGGGTATTAGGTCTGCCTACTGAGTCTCCTTCAAATCTATTAGCAAATTTATTTTTGCTTCAAGAGCCAGTTCCACTTAACTTCCTCAAGCAACTCTGACTCACCAACAAACACTTCAAGCAGCAAGATGGAAAAAAATAGATGTTTTAATCTTACCTGACGAACTAGACCAACCGTTCAGTCTGAAAGATTTCAGAAGTGCTACAAAGAAAACTAAAAATACAGCTCCAGGCGAGGACAAAATCACTTAAAACATGCTGGCCAAGCTAGGAGAAAAGGGTGAAGAAGCCTTCTTGAGTCTCATCAACAGAGTATGGGTGACAAGAACCCGACCACTCTCTTGGAACAGTGCAATTATAGTTCCCATTCCAAAACCTAAAGACCCAG